AAAGACAAAACTAGAAGAGTTTGTCTTTTGTAGCAGGAGCTCACAAAGTAGATTTTTTGCTCACAAGACTCCAGAGCTGAGAGGGAACACTGATCGGAACACCTGTTTAATATACAAGTTACAATATATCTTAATTCTTAAAAAGGTCCTCAAGAAGAGCTTCCCTCTGCAGGTTCGTGTTCACCCAACGAGTCTCTGCAGTCTCCACGGTTCTTCTTCCTGTGGAAGCATTGTGGACTCTGCCATTGGGAGGGGGGGGTTTTCCTGGAAACCTGAACGTCACCACTATTCTCAAAGCTCATTATATGTCTTTTATATGTCAGTTAGTGATGAAAAATAATAATTTTAGTTCATCATCTAACTAACTGATGAAAAAAATATATAACAAAACCCAACAAAAGTACACAGAAAAGCCTTGGTGAGAATCTAAAGAAATGGCAGACAGTCCATCAGAAATTGTCTTCCCTTCCCCTGCCTCATAGGAGACTGGAATGGGCTTTCTGTTAAAAATAGTAGATATTTTCCACCTCCATAGAGTAGCCACTTCTTCACTCTCCCTTTCCAGACCTTTGGAGAGGTGCGAGGGAATAGAAGGCATCTCAAACCGACCAGTCAAGAACAGTTCCCTGGGGAGAGGCTGCACAATACGGCTCCTATAAGGAGCAACTCTGGAGTCTTTACTCAGTGGAAGGGGGGGGGGGTCCCTTTCTCAGGTTGCCATCTCCAGGTTGGGAAATCCTGCTCCAGGCTGGAGGCCAGACCAGAGCAACACCTCAGTATGGAAACAACCAGAGGTGTCGTCGAAACAAATCGGGGGTGGGGGTTCAGAGAGGGGAGCTGACGCCCTGAAATTCCCAGCTATGCAATAACATATGTATAAAGTTTTCACAAGTTCAGAAATAACTATAATTGGTTCTGTGTAGCTCTACGTGATCTGCCTCTCTGGAGACGTGCCTCTCCGGAGTGAAAGCCGTTTCAGCTTACCCCCAAGCCCCTTTTCCCCCATAACTAGCTTTTGAGATTTTATTCCAGTTTTGTCCGAAGAAGTGTGTTTTGCACACGGAAGCTCACACTTTGAATAAAACTCTGTTGGTCTCAAAGGTGCCACTTGACTCAAATGTTGTTCTGTGTGTGTGTCTCTGTGTGTGTGCGTGCGTGCGTGCGTGCACACCAGGAAACCATATCAACAGAGCTACCCTGAAGTTGCAAAGGAAGGTTATCAAAACGTTTGGAGAAGAGGGGCTTAAGAGACAGCTGCTTACGTGATGAAGGGGACTTTCTTTATAAAGAGACTCAGCTGCAACTTGACAGACACGTTCAGCGGCACTCCAGTCAGCTGCCGTTAGGAGAAGAAAAAGAGAGATAAGTTAAAAAACCAAACAAGCAAAATCACTGGTGTCTATTGCACTACAGACTAGACCATGTGCAGGGCCGGCCCCAGCTTAATTTGCACCCTAGGCGAGGATCCCTTCTGGCGCCCCCCACCCCCGGTGCGCCCACCAATTTTCAAAAATAAATGCATTTTAGGAAGAATGAAAAACACAAATAATCAAGAAACTCCCAGAGTATGGGGCCGGGCTCAGTTTGGCGCCCCTAAGGGCCCTCCTGCTCTAGGGGATCGCCTAGTTCGCCTAGTGAGTGAGCCAGCCCTGCTTACAGAGGGTGCTAAACTGTACAATCCAGTTCTTAAAATGATATCCCATGCCTTTGAGTATGCTATAAAGGAGGGGAATTCTGACGGGCGGTGCTCATCGACCTTCAAAGCTATGCGACAACCTCCTCAGGGAGTGCCTCTACCCACCAACCCCCGGATCTTCCGGGGGCACCTTTGTTGCATGAATGACAAAAGTGTTGGGTGTTACAAGCTGAAAACACTTCAGTGTATCTGGGGTTAAATTTTTGTTTGTATTGTCACAGGAAATCACATGTTTTATGTAAATGTTAGTTTAGAACTACAAGCTCGGGAAAATCATCCCTGATCTAGGAGTTTCATTGGAAGCAAAGTGTCAAAGTGTTTTTGCATTTTATGGCTTCTCTTCCCGTCTTTGTCTGCTGTTCTCAAGAAGAAGTAGAAAAGCCATTATCGCGCTCTTCTAGTTTTGTTGTTGTAGTGTAAGGATGTAGGGAACTTAGCTCTGTTGTTAATTTCTTCCCAGTTACCCTTCCCCATGCTAGAATGTAGTAAAAACTTTCTATTTTAAACACACATGGACTCTGGGTCTGAAATATTTTACTCTGGCATTGCTGAGTTATTTTATCTCTGCTGAAAACCAAGTTTTATTTTTCAAAACCCGGACGAAAAGAGCCCCCCCCCCATGACACCAAAACGAGCAAGAGAACCCTCAGACCGGGGGAATGAATCCGGGGTAGCCATCGATATAGAAAATCAATCCATTCAGGCCTCATTAAAGAGACCAGGAATTTCAACCATTTGGAGAGAGGGAGATATTTTAAAAAGCAAACTAGGAACAATGGGGACAGGAAAAAAAACTCATGCGAAGGTTTCCTGGAACTCATCTTTCCACGTAGGAACATTTCCCCTCCCTTTAGATCCCCCCCCCTAGAGTGAAATGGCCAAAAGGAGAAAGGTCTCCTCTGATAGTGGGAAATGCCCTCCATTGTACACCCCGGATAGCACCAAAATGACCCCTCCTGGCTAACCTCTCATTGGACAAAGACCAAGGGCACGGTCAAGGCACTGCCCCCCAGGTGGGCCATAAGAGTTTGGCCCCCGACCCAGCTTTCCTTGTCCAGCGACCCTGGTCTAGAAGAAGACTTTGCTCAACTGTGATCCGGCAGGGAGGCTCTGCCCTGAACTCGGCCAAGGAAGGCGCCTCTTTCTCTCTACCGACACCCGACAAGATGGAATTTGCTGCTGGAGGAGGTGAGCGGGGGGCCGCCAGCGGGGGGAGGGTATCTGGGGGTACGAAGCCACCTTAACGGTCCAGTGTTCCCTCTAAGCTGAGTTAGTGTGAGCTAGCTCACCGTCTTTTAGCTTCTGGCTCACACGTTTTTGTCTCAGCTGGCTCCAGAGCAAACTCATTGATGCGGCGGCCAAATCGCTCGCTCACAAGTTTAATGCCAGGAGCTCAAAAAGTCGGATTTTCGCTCACATACTCTCCACAGTTTAGAGGGAACATTGGGTGGAACCTCCTGGTCGAACAGACTCTGAAAGGGGATTAGACACATTTGTAAAGGTGGAAAAGGTCCAGGCCTGGCCAGTGGCCCCGCAGAACCTCCATGTTCAAGGGCAGTCTATTCTCAAATGCCGATTTGGGGGTCGGTATTTCCTCTCTTCCCCCCTTGAGAATAAAGTGGCGCTTTGAAAGTCTGGCAGCTGCATTCCAGCAGAAGCGTCTGGGAACGGAAAAGATTTCCTGGGGGGGGTGGGCGCTAAACCTCTCCAAGTCTGTGCAGGAACCCGTTTCTTCAATCCCTTGGTGACTGCAAGAGCCCCGTTGCTTTGAAGCGCCTCTGGGGTGGAGGGGGGAGTTCCTTTTTCGTGGCTCCCGCCGCAACCCCAGAGAAAGACGCCTCTTCTTCCCAGGGAAATGGGGCCGAACTTTGCCACATAATCACGAATGCCTTGACACTCCAAACCCGTGGATCTCGTGTCCCGAACACGGCATAACATTGTAGGGATCGCCCCCCTGTTCACCCGTGCGGGAATCGAAGGATCATCCCCGGGTGGCTTCATTTCCAAACTGCAGCCGTCAGCGCAGTTCCTCCTTTCTAAAGCGATGGATTTCACTGACTTTAGACGGGAGTAAGTCTGCAGAGGATTGCACTGCGAAGCCCTCCGTCTTGCTTTGGCCGAAAGAAACTCCGGATTGGGAAGTGCCGAGTTTGTTTTTTCGGACGGCAATTTTTAATAATCCCATCCGGGCAGCCGGCAGTGGCTTCCTTTGCTTTTAGGACATTTTATGAGGGATGTCGCCTGCCACGCAGGTGCCAAACACAAAACCCTTTAATTCCTTCTAATTGGTTTTTTCCTCCCCTGAGAAACGTGGCCCTGGATCCCTCCAGCAATTCTGGGGGGAGGGAAATGGCGGTGGGCAAAAAAAAAGAAGAAAAGAAAAAAGGTTGTAGATTGGGGGTAGCCGCTGTGGTCTGAAAGAAGACCCCTTATTTAATGGGGAGGGGAGAGAGAGAGAAATTGGTGTGTTCCTTGCCTGTTCAGAAATGACGCCCCCTCCCCAGGACCTCCAGCCAGGAAGCCCTTCCCAAATCCCCTGGCCTCTTGGGTGCCCTGCCCAGAAGGAAATCTGTCTCTCTCCCAAACAGGACCTTTGGCTTCCCGCTCAGTTTCGCTCCCCTGCTCTGCCGGCTGAAGCTCCCCGGGAGATCTCGGGCCGGTCACAGCACCCCGCCTGGCCTCCCTCGCGGGGGGGTTGTGAGGATCAGAAGGCAAAAGGGAGGCTGTGTGGAACAACCTCCCCTCTGGCTTGCCTTTGGAGGCGAAAGGGGGCTGAAAATGGAGGGACCCAGGCTGGTCTTTCTAAGGTGTGCTATGGTGGGATCTTGGAGTGCCGTGGGAGGCGCAGGACAGAACCATTGTGGCGTGAACGTCGAGGGCCGCGGGGTGGCTGCTTATGCGGCCCTTCTGTCCCCCCTGCAGATGCTCCTGCCCACCTGCCTCAGTGTGCCGGGCGTGGCCGCAGAAGGCAGAGGACGAAGTTCTCCAAAGAGCAGCTGGACGTTCTCCTGCGGGCCTTCGAGCAGAACCGCCATCCCAGCTTCGAGGAGCGGGAGGAGCCGGCGAGGAGGATCGGAGCCCCCGAAGACAGGATCCAGGTAAGTCCCCTCTTCTGAGGGCCTTCGAGCAGAACCGCCATCCCAGCTTCGAGGAGCGGGAGGAGCTGGCGAGGAGGATCGGAGCCCCCGAAGACAGGATCCAGGTAAGTCCCCGGGGTGATTCCGTGGTCTCCCAGTCTCTCCTCTATCTGCTTTGGCTGGTGTGTGTGTGTGTGTGTGTGTGTGTGTGTGTGTGTGTGTGAATTGTGCTTTTAGACTGACCGAGCGGGCGGGAACCCTCCCAGACCAGAGAGGGTCGCCCCCCCAAAAAAAATCCTTGAAATGGAACCTGCATTTTCCTGCAATCCGATGGAAACAGGGTTGTGTCTAAGCATGTGAGGGATGGGTTTTCTGTTCCTTAAGGAGAGGCTTTCCGATTGAACTCAAGTGGTTAAGACGCTAAACTGCAGGCTGTGGAAGGTCGGTAGTTCAGCAGTTCGAGACCCGAGTGTGCCCGACTCTAGTTCCAGCTCCTGCCAACCTAGCAGTTCGAAAGCAAGAAGCTGCAAGTAGATAAATAGGTACCACTTCGTTGGGAAGGTATCAGCGTTCCTTCCGTGCGCCTTGGTGTTTAGTCATGCCGGCCACATGACCACGGAAACGTCTTCGGACAGCGCTGGCTCTCCGGCTTGGAAACGGAGATGAGCACCGCAACCCTAGAGTCGGACTCGACTGGCTTTCGAGCAAGGGAAACCTTTACTTTTACTTTTCCGATTGAAGCGTGTCCTGCCCACAGAGGTGTGAGAACTTCAGTAGCTTTTCTAGGGATTTCCAGGATTAGGTCCCATGGGTGGCCGTCCCAGAGATGCCCAGAGAGCTCTCGAAACCCCTGCCCCCTACGCGCGGGTGTCCTGATCTTGCGTCTGATTGCTGTCAATCAGAAGGTTCCTTTTCGCGCGGAATAGCTGCAGCAGGCGAGAGAGACATGCGTGTCTGGGTGGAAGGACATGTGAGGTGGAGGCCGGGATGAACGAGTCCCAGTTGGCTGAGCAAACATCAACCTCACCTGGGGGTTTGCTGGCAGCAGTCAGACTTGGGGTGGGCAGGGTGGGGAACGGGATGTATTCGGGACGAGCATCGGTGAGCCCTGAAAAGCAAGACCGGGTTCTGTCCAGGGATCACCGACTCTCCGCTTCTCTCACGGCTTCTCTGCAGGTCTGGTTCCAGAACCGGAGGACCAGGCATCCCTGTAAGAAGAAGGAGGACGCCGTCACAGGCTCGAAGCCCCGGAGCCAGCCGAGGACTCAGCACAACCTGCCGACTCCACCTCCTGAGGCCTCCGGAGGTGCGCAGCAGGGTCCTCCTCCGGGAGGCCAGTCCCGCGCACCCGGGAGCCAAGGCCCGGCCTTCTCTCTGCAAGGCGCTCCGCTGCCGTCGCCGCCGGCTGGCCTCCCCCCGCCGCTGACTCCTCCGTGGGCGACTCTCGCTCCCTCCGTGGCTTTCCCCGCTTTTGCCGTCGCCACGCCGCCTCCGCCCGTCCCCTCCTTCCTTCGAGGACTGCCCGGGCCAGCTGCCCCTCCCGCACTCTGGGACGGGTCCTCCCTCCCGGTGCTCACCGAGGAAGACCTGGCCATCCTCCAGTTGCCGGCTTGAACGGACCACACGTGAGCGGATCGGGTCCTCCTCTCCTTTGGGAGACCCCCCCCCCGCCAGGGCACTGACAGGCCGCGAGGTCTTGGACTTTCTCACGCACTTCTTCCTGTCTCTTCTGCACTTGGATTGCTCGGGCTGAAGTCAGACCTGGCGGGGCTACTTCTGTCTTCCGCTAGGATTTGGGTCTTGATATACTTTAAAGAGATAAATGTGGTTGGTTAATTAACTTGATGTATCACACACATTCTGCCCTTATATTTATTACGTGCAACTTTGAATAAATCTAACTCTATTTCAGCACAGTATCGCTATTGTTTGGTATTATGCTGTTTGTAATCTTTCGGCTTCATATGTATTGTGTGTGTGGTTCTTTGCTTAAAAACTAATAAAAATGTTGATCACAAAAATACAACAACCAATGGTGGGATCTTAAAAGGGTCGTTCTTTCGGGATGGCTTGGGGTTTTATTGGGAACAGGCATCCGAGACGCAGGGCTTCGCCCAAGGGTCCCCATCCTTTTTGATTCTGACTCGGCATGGGGGGGGGGGCGTGCAGACACAAAAGGACATGGGGAGCCCCGGCTGATGTCGGTTTCAATGAGCCACAATGGGAAAGTTCATGTCCATTTCCGTTGCCGCAGGAAGCTGGTTAGGAAGCTGGTGGTCCTGGTTAGAGGGCAGAGAAATCCACTCAACACCCCCCCCCCACGGTGACCTGGGGAAGCTCCATGCAGGGGTCACGGAGGGATTGTGTATGGGGCGAAGAGGGATTAGATATCCACTCGAAAGAGCAAATCCTTCCCATTCGGTAGTGACTGAATGTGTTCCCGTCAAGTGTCCCTCAATACCCTGGAGCCCATATGTTGGGTATTACATGTTAAAAACACTCAGTATATATTGGGTTAAATGTCTGTTTGTGTTGTCACAGGAAATCACATGCTTTTGTGTAAGCCTATGTTAGTTTAGGTCTGCAAGCCCGGGAAAAACATCCCTGATCTAGGAGTTTGATTGGAAGCAAAGTGTCAAAGTGTTTTTGCATTTTATGGCTTCTCTTCCTCTCTTTGTTTGCTGTTACTGAAGAAGAAGTACAGAAGCCATTGCTGGCTCTTCTAGTCTCGTCCTCTGTAGAGTGAAGATGTAGGGGATTAGCTCTGTTGTTCTTTTCATCCCAGTTACCTTTCCCTATGCTAGAATGTAGTAAATCTTTTCTATTTTAAACACACATGGACTCTGAGTCTGATTATTTTACTCTGGCAATGCTGAGCTATTTTTCTTTGCTGAATTATGATTTTTATAAAAATTCCAACACCATATCCTGATCAAACTGAAATTCTCACATCAGGTCAAGGTAGCAAGACTGAATTGCACACCCCCGATATAAAACTGCACCTCTGTCCATTGATATCAGCGGGGCTGGAAGTCAGAGTTCCTTGAGGGGGGAGGGCAACCTAGCTAAATCGGATCACGTGGAGACCTCGTTTCAGTCATGAGGGACACGATCCGGCAGCATCTCTCGTTCCAAAGGTAAGGGGGGAGGGGGAATTGTCAAATCTTCCTCCCTTCTAGTGAGTGGGAGGGGGCAGAGGAGGGGCTGTGGGATGCCGGGCCGCTCACCGCCTCCCGCTTTCTCCACACACCACCCCCTTGGGTGGGGCTCTACCACCTTAGCAGCTTCGGGATGGGAGGAGGGGAGGCCCCCGCCTTCCCCGGAGACGGATGTGCTGCCCGGAGACGGATGTGCTTCTGGGGCTCTGCCGCTGGCCCCGTCCATGGTGCTGAAACGCAGGGCCCGGGTAATTCGCCTCCTCCCACGGGCAGCTGCGAGACTTGGAAAGACGGGGGGGGGGGGGGGGGGGG